TGGATTACGGTGAATGGTAGAATTTTAATGTATAGTATTTCACGGGCGTAAGAAAATCGTATTTATTTCAATTTCTAATGGTAACAAATAGTATTTGACTGACAAATTTTGAGATAAATTTTTAAACTATCAAATTGGTGTTATTTGATTAGTATGCTATTTGTTTTTTATTATACTCTCATATAATTTAATTAATTTTATATTTATCGTGATAATTAAATTAATGTGATAATATAAATAATTATTATTTATTTTATTAAATATAAAATTTTAAATTGATTATGTATAATAATTATTTATTTAAATACAAATATAATTATATTGATAAATAATTTTTTTTTGCATATTTTTTTTTATATTATTTACTATTACATATAATATGTAGGAATAAATTAATAATTTAGTTGAAAATACAATTATTCCATCCTATCATCCAAACAAAAATATGTTATTAACATATATTAATATACCATCATTCAAACGTAAAAAAATGTTGTCATTCTAATTCTGTGTTATTGCCATTCAATTACTGTCATTATTATACATTAATTAATCATCACTGAAGTTTATCCAAACAAAACATTAGGATTTACATTGAAATGGTGACTTTCTTTTAGGGTTTATGAATATATATATATATATATATATGTTTGGAGAGTTATCCATATGCTGATTCTTTCCCACAGGAATTCTTGGATCTTTCATATGACCATGACAAGGAGAAGACGATAAATTTTTTTTTATCAGATTGGACGGAGTTTTGGAAGATAACTTAGTAGAGGATTTTGAATCATATTCCAATTATCTTCTATTTAATTTTGAAAATATGCTACATGTACACTAATAATATAATATTTTCAACATAAGATATAAGAACACACGAGACACAATAAATAATGATTAGTGTATTCATTAGTATTAGTAAGCAGTTTCTTATTCCTTGGATATTTTTGGAGTTTTTGTTGATAGTTTAAATCGTTTTACAATTATCCTTAATATTTTTAAAATAGAAGAACTTGAGAACCAGTGTTTGAGTTTTCTAGAACAACATGAGTTTGGAATTTTGTAAATGAAGCAACTTAAAAAATTCTAAACTAATATTATTTTCTAAACTAACATAATTAGAAAGGTGAAGCAACGGATGTGATTAAAGACCAATTTGTGCTTGAGACTCTCTAAGAAATGGCAGATTGGAGGAAGACATTATTACTCGCAGAAAAAAGAAAACAATAGAAGATAGAAAAGATGAAAAGGCATCTATTTCAGCAAGATTATGATTCATATAGCGACAAAATCAAAGTGGGCAAAAAGATTCCTGGTGTAGTGTAGCACCCACTTCCCTCCTGCATTAATATAATATATATATATATACATATATATAAAACAACATACATCATACTAGCATTCTCCTCCATTGTTGCAGACCTCCTCTAAATTTATCTCTCTTCTCTCCAAATACTCAGCCTCTGATCTTGCCCTGGATCTTGGAAAAGATCAAAGAGAGATATGGGTTTGGTTGAAATGTTGATGGGCGTAAGGTGGTTCAATACGACACTGCCTCCCGCCGTATCAACCTTCTTCACAATTCTTGCAGTAGCTGCAGGGATATTGGTGTACTTGTACGGACCCTACTGGGGAGTCAGGAGAGTTCCCGGCCCACCCATTATCCCCCTGGTCGGACATCTTCCATTGATGGCAAAATATGGCCCTGATGTTTTCTCAGTTCTTGCCAAAAGACATGGTCCTATTTTCAGGTTCCTCACTTTCCTTTCTTCTTAATATTAATTCTAATATTATTATTATTACTATTTATTTCTCGTATATTAATTATTAGACTAAAGTTAGATACTAATGATTCACAGTTTATAAACAGAATAATGAATAGTTTAATGCAATATTAGCTAATTTCATAGTATTTCTGGACTAAAGGTTTCACATGGGAAGACAGCCACTCATAATTGTAGCAGATCCAGAGTTATGTAGAGAAGTGGGTATTAAAAAATTTAAAGATATTCCAAACAGGAGCATCCCTTCACCTATCTCAGCTTCTCCTCTTCATCAAAAAGGTCTCTTCTTCACAAGGTACGAACCATTAACTCCAATAAACAAAACATTTCTACTGATACCACAGATTCTAATAGCTTCTTAATCCATTGACCTGTGCTAGATTCTAATTGCAGAGATGCAAGGTGGTCGACTATGCGAAACACCATAGTTTCAGTTTACCAACCATCGCACCTCGCTAGCCTAGTTCCCACCATGCAAGAATTCATCGAGTCTGCAACTCAAAATCTTGAGTCTCAACAAGATGTCAACTTTTCTAACATGTCTCTAAAACTGGCAACAGATGTGATAGGCCGAGCAGCCTTCGGGGTTAACTTTGGGCTCTCAAAACCCCAATCAATCGATGAATCAATCAACAAAAAGACTAACCAAGATGACAATGTGGATGATCATGAAGTATCAAGCTTTATAAATCAACATATCTACTCCACAACCCAGTTAAAGATGGACTTGTCAGGATCTTTCTCCATCATTCTTGGCCTACTAATTCCCATATTGCAAGAGCCTTTTAGGCAAATTCTTAAGAGAATACCAGGCGCTATGGACCGGAAAGTTGACCAAACTAATAGAAAGATAAGTAGGAAGCTAGATGAGATTGTGACAAAGAGAATGAAGGATATTGATAAAAGGTCAAATGTTGACTTTTTATCTCTCATATTGAGAGCCAGGGAGTCCGGGACAGCGGCAAAGAATGTTTTTAGTCCAGACTATATCAGCGCTGTTACTTATGAACACCTTTTGGCTGGCTCAGCAACGACGTCGTTCACCCTCTCGTCAGTTCTCTACTTAGTTGCTGGACATCCTGAAGTTGAGAAGAAGTTGCTTGCTGAAATTGATAGCTTTGGCCCCCATAAAAAGTTGCCAACTTTTCACCATCTTCAATACAACTTTCCCTATCTTGACCAGGTAAGTCTTTTCATCTTCACTTTAAATATTTACATTACACTAATTTGAATGAAATTGATTTGTCTGAATACAGGTAATCAAAGAGTCCATGAGGTTTTACTTGGTGTCTCCACTAATTGCAAGAGAAACATCAAAAGATGTGGAAATTGGAGGTTACTTTCTCCCCAAGGTAATAATGTTATTAGGGTTTGTGGATTTATATGTTGTGTGTTTGTGTATATACATATATTTTATGGCCGATTAATTGTTGCCAACAAGCAGGGAACATGGGTGTGGTTAGCGCCTGGAGTCCTAGCAAAGGATCCCAAGAACTTCCCAGAGCCAGACAAGTTCAAGCCGGAGAGATTTGATCCAAATTGCGAAGAAGAGAAACAAAGACATCCTTATGCATTTATCCCTTTCGGCATTGGCCCTCGAGCATGCATTGGTCAAAAATTCAGCATACAAGAAATAAAACTCTTGCTCATACATTTGTATAGAAATTATGTCTTTCGACATTCACCTAACATGGAAAACCCTATAGAACTCGAATATGGAATAGTTCTCAATTTCAAGTATGGTGTCAAGCTTAGGGTCATAAAACGTACATGAACTGCTCATGTTTTTATGTTTGTCTTAAATTATTTAAAGTTTCTCAATAAAGATTATGTAAAAATTTAAAATACACGGTTCTTAACTTCAACGGGTACAAATTACTTCAAAATCTTGGAAACAAATTCTCCTTAAAGGATTTTAGGATCTTCATATTCCTTTACTAGTTATCTTTAGTCAATTAAGTTGAAAGGTAAAATCATCTTTATAGATTAGACATTGATATTAATAGTAGTGTGTAGTAAATGTAAATATACTTATTAGTGTTAAATTATATTTTTAAATAAATTCTTATGAACTATTTTATGATAATGTTGCATTAAAACTTATATAATTAGCTGCTTAAAAATTATAAATTTCTGATATATTATGAAATACTAATATAATTGTGATGAAATCACGATAATAAGATCTATTGACTTAAACACAATTTATCAATATCTATACACGTAAAGAACAATGTAAATTGACACCATCATATCCAATTAAAATAATTTAGTTTATGAATTCATGGTAAGTGTTTAATCTTAGTTAAAATTAAGTATAAAGTTTTGAATGAATTAAAAATTTTGGACTTTTATTATTAAATTTGGAAAAAAATAGATGAAAATATCTACCTTGAATTGAATGTAGATTTGACTAAAAAATTATAATATTACTCTCATTCAAATATATATATATATATATATATATATATATATATTACACTTTTTTTTTTTTAATTTATATTATATTAAATGAGCATAATTTGAATTTATATACTGCTTTCAGAGTGGGTCATCATAAACATCATTAATTTATTGAAAACAAAATGATAATTAACAATTTTAAAATAAGATCTAATGATTAATCTAAATAAGGCAAAATATACAGAACCAATTCAGACTCTCTAA